TCTTCTCCCACGGTGATGTCGTGGCGTACCACGCCATCTTCGCCTTCCGGACTAGTCAACTCTTGTCCTCGTCTTTGCCAACCAACCATTTCGTCCCTTTCTTCGGCAAGGTCCTGGCTTGTCCTCGTCGGGATGCCACGGCAGTGTCACCGCTGTATCGGCCTTGATGCTACTTACATATCTGCTCCCAAATCGACTAAGCACTTGGGACCTCCTATTTGATGCACTGCATGCTGAATAAGAGTGTGATGCACACGGTAGACAAAACTAGGTCGGCCCATTGGGTGGCACAACAACGAGAGGATGCACATATTGCCAAAAAACGTGCGTGCTTTTTCCGAAAAAATCAGAATTTCAAAAAAAATTCCCATCTTTAGAAAATGTCAGGATTTGAAAAAATGTTTACCTTTTTCAAATTTTGTTCAGAAGATTTTTGAAATTCCCCACAAAATAGAAAAGGGGACCACATTTTGAAATTATAGGCAAAATTTGAAAGGATGATTTTCTTAAAAAAATCCCAACATTTTTTGAATTTGTGAGAAATTTTCTAAAAAACAGAATATGTTTTGAAATTCTGAACAATTTTTTAAAACACAAAAGTTTCTAGACGGTAATTCTTTTTAAATTTTATGAATTTTATAAAAAACGTGAGTTTTTCAAAATCATAAACATTTTTGGAAAAATAATATCAAACATTAAAAATAAAAAAATAACGAAGAAAAAGAGTAATAAAACTGGTTCAGGTTTCCCAAAACCGGTAAAAACCTGGGTTGGAAACTTCCAAAGTTTCCCAAAACCTATTGCAATGACTTGTTCACTGTCTAAAACAGGCCGGCCCTTGTCGGTCGCTGCTGTGCGAACCAACGACAACTTGAGGTAAGGCACGTCAAGTAGGGAATTGTAACTTTTTGTGAGGTTGGCAAATAAACATGGTAGCCAACCAAGCACTAACCAATATTTCGCATTTGCCAAATGTTGCCATGCCAATTTTTGGCACGAAACCAATTATGCTCTTAAGTACTTTTCAATTTTGACAGGTGATTGAGAAATTGTAAACAGCTTAATGGGGCGATTTACAGGTGACCGAGAACCATCTTTGTTCAGAATAGGCCGAGGACATTTATGTTCGGCCATCTTTATACTGGGCCGATTCATTATTTATTTAGACTCAAAAAATATTTATTTGTTTTGACTTGTTGGCTGATTCATTTCTTGCAAACGGTTGTTGTACGCTTGTCTTTCTTCAACAATGTCCTGTCAATCTGCTGATGTTTTACGTGCCGTAAACACGTCGGAAAAGCTTCAGCAGATAATTGTTACACCTCGATCGGTTTGGAATAGATCCCGATAAAGATGCGCCACGAGGGCACGAGGCAGTAGTCTTCACAAGATACGTGCGCGTATAAACTACGGCAACGCTGAACCAGTACGAGGAGTGACCACTCCAACGAGGGCGATCGATCCTCCAATCCACATGCTACCGAGAAAAAAACGATGCAATTGCTGTAAGCAGCAACGACCGCTTCGTTGCGGCCGGCGGCTCTATCTCCGCGAGGGCGACGTCACGGAAGGAACTATAGAGAAATCAGCACGGATTGAGGAGAATCACATAATAGGCCGCTACATCACGGATATCTATTTCTGAGTCCAGACTCATCTGCATCCGATCATAAATCTATTTTAAAAAAATCTATTTTTTTGCATGGTAGATAATTTGGTGCATGCGGTACGCTCCAAATTAAAAGTCATTTCGACATATGAGTAGCTCTATGCAAAAAAACAAATTGGGTTAGAATAGTAGATGAACAGTAAAAAAATTACAGACCTCAAATTTGTTGTTTTTTTTGTCGATAGCTACTCAGATGTCTAAATGACATAAAATTTGGAGCGGACCTCACACACCAAATTATTTAACGTATAACTTTTTTTAAAAACATTTCCCTTTTCTTGATATACCAGTTCTTGGTGGCAATTGCATTATGCTGAATTAACCACAACCATATCTTTATCTTCCGAGGGGATTATGCTTTTCAAAATGTGTTTGACCAAGTGGTCAGCTTAGTAAGCTATCAACAAAAAAATTCAATCAATGATAAAATGTGTTTGAAGGGCGTATCAGGTTCGCATTTAAAAATGCCAGCATACGGATGCTCCTCACGGAATATATTTTACATTTGGTCCAAGTTATTACTTATATGCTGACGTATACAATCAAGAACGGCTCTATATATCACCCTCTTTGTCCCGGCCGTTTGGTGCACGACACATAAACATTGCAGCCGCCGGCGTCACCAGCCGAAGAAAAGAAAACAGCCATGAGCCGCCCGCACGCGGTGCTTATCCCGTACCCGGCGCAGGGCCACGTGACGCCGCTGCTGAACCTCGCCAAGGTGCTGCACTCGAGGGGCTTCTACGTCACCTTCGTCAACTCGGAGTACAACCACCGGCGCCTGCTCCGGTCGCGCGGCGAGGACTCGCTGGCCGGCCTCGACGACTTCCGGTTCGAGACCATCCCGGACGGCCTGCCGCCGATGGAGAACGAGGACGTCACGCAGGACGTCCCCGCGCTCTGCACGTCCTTCGCCACGCACGGCGCCGCGCTCTTCAGGGAGCTCCTGGCGAGGATCGACGGCGACGGGAGGCCGCCGGTGAGCTGCGTGGTAACGGACGGGGTGATGAGCTTCGCGCTGGAGGTGGCCGGCGAGAGGGGCGTCCCGGCGTTGGTGTTCTGGACCACCAGCGCGTGTGGGTTCATGGGGTACCTCCACTTCTTCGAGCTCGTCGAGAGAGGCTTCGTGCCACTCAAAGGTATACTACCACCCCCTACGCGCTCCATGCATGGAACTGGCATTACGTGATTGACTGCAAATTAGTACTATAACTGTGCTGCATGTGTCGTAGATGAGAGCTACCTGACCAACGGATACCTCGACACGGCGCTCGACTGGGTGGCCGGGATGCCGGGCATAAGGCTGCGAGACTTCCCCAGCTTCGTCCGCACGACCGAGCGGGACGACGTCATGCTCAACTTCGACGGCGGCGAGGCGCAGAACGCGCACCGCGCGCAGGGCGTCATCCTCAACACGTTCGACGCGGTGGAGCAGGACGTGGTGGACGCGCTCCGCGGCATCTTCCCGCGCGTGTACACGGTCGGCCCGCTCCCGGCGTTCGCGGTGACCGCGGCGCGGGCGCGGCCGGAGCTGGGCGCGATCGGCGGCAACCTCTGGAAGGAGGACACGAGCTGCCTCCGGTGGCTGGATGCCCAGAAGCAGCCAGGCTCGGTCGTGTACGTCAACTTCGGCAGCATCACCGTCATGTCGCCGGCCCACCTGGCGGAGTTCGCGTGGGGCCTGGCGCGCTGCGGGCGGCCGTTCCTGTGGGTCATCAGGCCGGACCTCGTGGCCGGCGACAAGGCCGTGCTGCCGGAGGATTTTCTCGCCGAGACGAAGGGCCGAGGGATCTTCCTGAGCTGGTGCCCGCAGGAAGAGGTGCTGGGGCATCCGGCGACCGGGCTGTTCCTGACGCACTCCGGGTGGAACTCGACGCTGGAGAGCATCTGCGCGGGCGTGCCGATGGTCTGCTGGCCCTTCTTCGCGGAGCAGACGACCAACTGCCGGTACGCCTGCGCCGAGTGGGGCATCGGGCTGGAGATCGATAGCGATGTCAAGCGGGAGGAGGTGGCAAGGCTCGTGCTGGAGGCCACGGACGGCGAGAGAGGCAAGGACATGAGAGCGAAGGCGACGATGTGGAAGGAGAAGGCCGCGGCGGCGGCAGAGGACGGCGGGACTTCGACCCTTGGCATCGACCGCCTCGTCGCATTCTTGCTTGGAGGGACCGATGGTCCTCAAAGCTGAAAACGTTGTTGTCTTGTTGAATCAGCCCCCTGATCACTGTGATGGGTATATGGGGTTGGAAACAACAGTATGATGTAACCATTTCCCACTGTTTAAAACCGTTGTGCGTCCATATCGACAGTATGCAAGACAAACTATGCATCTACGATGTCGTTTTCTCGGTGATGTAAGTAGTTTCACCAGTCCTACGAAGAACATTTATCTATCCTGTAACAATCGAGTGTCGTACGAACAAACCCAAAAAATTCATAGACGTGGACATAGAGAAGACGACTACTAGCAGCATATGCGTCCGGGACTTATTCTGGCGAATTCCATTTTCTGGCGTGAGGTTCAGTTTCGCAGTACAATGGGTTCACCAAAGAAATGCAGTGCAGAAATAGGAAAAGAATCAGAAACAATGAAAGAACAAATATTTGGATGCTATTTTTTTTCCAGTCAAGAAACGAGTATCTGGTAGTCCTTTGCGAACCACTAATAGTCCAGTCCAGATCGGCATCAAATCATTTTGGTGGAGTTTTCACTTCAGCGAGTCAGTTCGAGGTGTTTTCCTCTGAATTTGATCTTTCAACAGGCGCTGACGCTTCTTGGTTATCTGTGTTTGTAGCCTCAGCCTCAGATACTGTCTGAGTTGGTTGTGAACCTGCAGCATATGTCAGCAGAAAGGCATGAGTTTGGTGCAAAGTTTGATCAAAGAATATGGCAACATAGCAGCAGCAAGTCATGAGTTTATTTCAAAGTTCGATCAAAGAAGATTAGAACATAGTTGCTGATATGATTATGAAAACAGCAAAATGTTTATTTATTTTGGTGTTCTGAAAACTGGGAGTGACATACCGGATACATCGTCAGACTGCCTTGAGATTGCACGAGGGGGCAACTGGAGTCTGAAATTAGGAGGGAGTGAAGGCGCTGCCTGGAACGAACCCTCGCTCTGCTGCTGAAAGAACGGTGGCCGAGCAGCTTGGTGCTGCAATGGCGAGAAGCCGGCCCTTGGATTCTGGCCACTTGTCATGTACCCCATGTATGGGTATGGTGATGTTGAAGGGGATGTTTGGCCATACTGCTGAGAGTAGTATTGCTGCATTTGATTGTAAAAGGCCTGCATATAAATTTTCAGACATTGCTTCAGTCAGTTCCTCGAATGGAAAGCTAGTGGGTCTGTATTGTGCTAGTGTCTGATTTTGGTAGACATTCTGTGTAACTTGTGGTTAACTAATCCAAAACAGAATCCATGAACCGATCCAAGATCCAATGCTGAACATTGCTAGTTTTTCAAAATCCTAATTATAGACCACGGACACTAGAATGTGCTACTTGCTCCTTTTATGTTGGGTACTGCTGGTGTTCATTAGAGCTGATGTACAAAGTTGCAGTCGCATGTGGTGGAAGTAAAACAAGAGAAATGACAAACTTGAAAGAGATGAATATAGTGCTTACCTGCTGGTATTGATAATCAGGTGGGTACCAATACCTGCAAAAGTTTACATAACTTCATCAGTGCCTTGTTAAGAAGATGGATAGGGGTCAAGCCGAGCACGAGCCCACTATTGTCTCTCAGAGACATATGTACCGACAACCATGGCTGTAAAACCAGGACCATATCAAATGAACACTCCTTCCTCTGCTTCCATTTTTTGCAGAACTGTACTGGCATTTAGTACTCCTGTTTTCATAACGGAAGCGCTTGCTTGCAAGAGTCTAAACACAGCTGGTTGCCTCGACAAAATTGCACTAAAGAGAAACGAGATGGCTATGCATATATGAGTAGAAATGCAGAAACCTGGTGCAGTTTGCAATTTTTTTTCCTGCAGAAACAACTCAAGTGGTAGTACATGTTCCTGGACGGACCGGTCAAGGAATCCTGCGCCAACGGTCTGTACTAGGCGCTGCCCATTCCAATAAATTTCACATATGGGGTACGTCAACCGCAACCCAGCAGCAGCGCTGCACCAAAAATATAGCCAAGTGGCACCAGAGAGCTGGACGCAGGCACGCATTAAACTCTCCCAGCAAAGCAAAGCAAAGCCAACGGTGCGCAGCGAGCGTTCGCAGGCAAGGCCACACCCCATGCCCATGGTGGTCTAGACTAGAGAAGTCAGCAGACGGTGACGACGGCGGGGCCCACCGGGGTTGAATGGCCGTCGCCGCCGAGGCCGAATTTATGAACGGGCCTCCCACGAGGGCCCAACGCGCGGGGGAAACGGGCACGCGCGGGCCCGGCCGTGCTTCCTTGGTATCCGGAAGGAAACCCATCGGTCCAGTCAAGGAAGCGGCAGCGGAAACCGAAAGCTCTGCGGCGCGAAAGCAACCCGACCTGAGTGCTGACCTGACCTCGCTCGCTCCGAGCAGCGGCAGCGTCTAGTCAGTCGGGTTCGGTAACTGCCCCATCAGCTACACTAAAGAGCAACTACCACCGGTCGTAGTCCAGGAGTATAGGTGTGTCTACTTACGCCATCGGATCAAACTGTTCACCTCAGGATGGGCATCTCCCTGAACCACAAAGATGCAGCCCACAACGTCTATGTTGGTTCCTCACTTCAGCTAACGGATCAGTCCTAGTCTAGCTGTCTAGGAGTAGTTGTCTATTGTATCACACCACCGTGTCAAACACAAACTAATTTACCTCAGGATCAGCATTTTGGCTGGATCACGAGAAATGCAACCACCTTGACATGGGGCCGGTCACAGGTCACTACCAAACCATGCTTTGTCTGAATTTTTTTCAACTAGTGCTACCTTATTACTACGAAACTGGGACATTACCAACAGGCATTGCACCTGCCCAAGTGAGGGTTCAGAACTTGCAGCGCACCCAGATCCCACCATGTGTAGTGTACGATGGTGCAACGCGATTTTAAAGCGGGACTGACAATGATACATACAGTAGACAGTAGGCAGTGGTACATGGGGATATGGCACTCACCCGTACGGCGAAGGGTTGTAGAACATGGCGTGAGGCGGGGTGGGCATCTGCTGCTGCATCCTGCCGCCCATGTATGGCTGCGGGCCCGAGTGCTGCTGATCCGGCCCGCGCGGGGCCCTCCCTGCAGAGACACAAGCAAAATAATTTAGACATGTCACACTATTTTGTTGGGCTGCAGAGGAAGCAACTCGCACCCAAACAAACCAACAAATAAATGTGCTGTGAAGAGGTAGCAGATCACGCATGTATTGCAGGCAGGACGGGACGGCAAGGGGGGGCCACGCGGCCAGGTGTTGCAAAACAGTTGGATGGACTATGCACCGCGAGGGGAAATACCATGTGCCCTTCCATGTTGCACCGGGACACACATGCATGGATGGATGGACGGACGGACGGATGATTTCCTACGCTCTTGTATATATCTTTCCAAAGGTTAGTTGATTGCCTAGCAGAAACCTTTCAGTCTTCATGAAAGGAAAAAAGGACGCCAGATGTGTTCCTCTGTCTGCATTTTTACCAATATTCTTATTCTCAAATACAAGAATCTTCTCAAAGGAAGAATAATATACCAGAGGAACTGTGGGGGTTTCTTTATATGCGCATTGCGCGGATTAGAGCAGTGCCAAATAATGCAAGACTTTTCTTAGCTAGCTTGCACTACAACCTACGCCAGTCTGGTACTCGTGTGCTGTACTGCACTCCAACCATACATTTTTGAAAATACTAAACAAATACAAATAATATGCAAACCCAATTATTATATCATGAAAGAAAAGAAAGAGAAAGCTCCAATGAACACCGCCGTTCACCCAATCATTTGGAAAAGCACCACGCAAAATCCCGAATCAATAAAGTAACACCAGATGAAATATCACGAGAGACCAATTCAAGCAAACGCAGCGAGGTGAAGCAATCCAAGCAACATGCAGCATCTATCTATATATATTCCCCTGGGCTCGTTGACATGACACCCACCAGACTAAAACCCTGTCAAAGGCCAAGTACGAGAGTTGTATATGCAATGGAACTCTTTTCCGATGCCGTCTTGACCGGAAAGGCAAAGCGGCCGGGTTCCTGATTCTCCCTCCAGCGATAGCTAACATGCACCGCCCCGCTTTACACCGCATTCCCGCTGGAAGCCGCTTCAAATCGAAGCCAATTCTTTCCCAATATGCAGCAACAGCAAAATGCTAGCTCAGACCCGTCCGTCATAACCACCGTTGATGCTCCCCAAAAAAGATCAAATCTGTAACGGGTTTCTATATCAATGTTTCCATGCTTTAACCATGAAATTGGCATATGTTTGACTCGAGAACTCTAGTTATATCTTCAGGCACAAGACTGAAAACTGAAAATCAATCATAGTCAAATCTTCAACTGAAGAAGAAGAGCTATATATACTTGTGGAGGCCGGAGTGGTAACTGATACGTAGTGGTCAAAATCAGTACTGTATAGCAGTAACTGAATGCAGAGGCCAGGCTGGCGAGGCACGACCCGACCCAACCCAGCCCAGCAGAGCACAGCCATGAGGCATGAGTGTGCATGTCTGACAGCCGGAGCATGCCGCCCCTCCCAATGCAGGCCAAAGTGCTCCAAGTCGTCGTCCTGCTCCGTCTCGGCTGGCGCCCCAGTCTTTTAAAGCTTTGAGCAGCTGGAGCCGGGCCCCGCCCGCCCGTCCGGCCATTAACGATCCTCTTGTCCTAACCCGCTGGCTAACACGCAAGTAGGAGGAGGAGAAGGAGAAGGAGAGACGCGAGCCCTAATCAAGCTTATCCTGCTAATTGCGTACGGCCGATCCCCGCTGATCATGTCCCGGTTATTTACTGCCATGCACATGCGCGAGCAAACGATGGGAGAGGGGGGAAAAAGGAGGGCATTGATTCGGTGTTTTTTTTGTTATACTGTTGCTCACCTCTCTGCGGCGACGGTCGCGGCGGGCCCATGGACGCAATGTTGCAGTTGGCGCGCCGGCCGGCGATCATCGGGTTCGGGTTCTGCACCGCCTGCTGCGCCGCCTCCGG